ACTCACGCGTGATTTCTTCCACCCTGGTCCTTAACGAGCGAAGAGAGCGCGTCGGGGCAGCCGTTCGCATGACATACGTAAAACGTGGTCCAACCATCTCAGTTGGCGCAGCGGTAGCAGTCTGTCAAGTGGAAGTCCCGTGTTACCTAAAACGCAACGTCTAACACCATCGTTGCGCACGTGGTTCATCCACCACACTCGAGCTATTCTACGCTGATTTCCATTGTCAAAGGCCGAAATCCGACGCAAGTCATTCATACGAATCAGGCAGGACACTCCCATACAGCAGCACCGCGCGAACACAGGCATTGTAGACCCTGCCCTTTACCAATAGTGAAACGTCACGGCGTCGCTACAGATGCCTCAAGTTCGCGAACGTCGAACGGGCTTTGGCTATGCGGAAGGAAATCTCGTTTCCAATGCTACCATCAGCAGAGACACAGCTTCCCAAGAAAACAAAATTGCCCAATTGTTCTAGCTGCGTACCTTGAAGAGCGAGCACTGGAGCAGGGGGTTGCCCATCCAGGACCAGGATTTTGCATTTCGTAGGGGAGAAGGTCATGCCATACTTTGATGCTTCAATCACCAAGCGATTTAGAACGGCTTATGTGCTCTGTGCATCATGACCAAGCAAGGCAATATCATCAACATAATCTAAATCGTTCACGCGGTTGCCAAGAAGAAGCTCTACACCAGAACCCTGAAATCCCTCGAGAGCGTTTAAAAGGACATAATCGATTGCAAAATTGAAGCGAAACGGAGATATGGGGCAACCCTGTCATACACCGCTAGTAACGGCAAAAGGTGATGGGAGCTTACCGTAGGCCCTCACTTCACCTGAGACATTGCAATATAATGCTCGAAGGATAGCGATATACTTTTCGTGTACTCCATTCGTTTGTAACCAACCCCATAAAGCAGGCAGATCAACGGAGTCGAAAGCCGCTCGGATGTCCAGAAAACAACGACAGTGGGCTGGCGGCAAAGGTGACGCGTTTCAAGAAATTGGCGGAGCGTAAACAAGCCGTCTGTATAGACGGCGGAAACCAGCCTGTTCTTCACGGGAGCGCAGTTCTTGAATGGGGGTTAGCCTGCGGAGTAGGATAGAATTTAACAGCTTGGAAGCAACGGACATTAGACTATTTCCTCGGTGGTTAGCGCATAGGGTACGGTCACCTGTCTTGAAGATGGGGACGATAATTGACTAGCCCCGAGCGGATGGAACTGTTTCTCCCTACCAGATCTTAGAGAACAGAGCTGTTAGCTGGTTGACATTTACTTCGTTACCGAACTTGAACAGCTCTAGAGGAAGTCTGTCTGGGCCAGCAGACTTGAATCGCTTCAAGTGTCGGAGCTCGAGGCAGACCTCAGCTTCAGTGGGTGGTTCCAATGAGGCGTTCCAAGGCGCGAGACTAGGTATACTCATTGGGCTCACCGGCGGAGGAGGGCAGTTGAATTGAGTGCGGAAGTGTTCAGCCCAGTGGTCCATACGCCTGCGTAAGTTGCTTATCGGCGTTCCCTCAACCTCGCAAATGACCTCACTGACACCAGGTCTTTTGTGACCAGTGGCTCGAATGACCTGGAAGAGCTTGCGGAAGTTTCCAGAGAGGGCTGCCTTTCCCATCTCTGAGGCGCGCTGGGATCACCACGTTTCGTGGTCCGCACGCAGGCTTTGCTTAAGTTGTTGGCTGAGAATGCGACGCAATGCACTGCTATTTGAATCGGCCGGGATAGCTCTACGACGATCAAACAATTCCAGTGAGTGTGCGGAAATCCAGCCCCTCAGAGGGCGCCTTGTGATTCCGCAGATTGAATGACTGGAAGTTAGCATCGCTTCAGGCAGGAAACTCCAATGATTTTCGGTGTCTCGAGGTGGAGCACCGATGAATGCATGCGATAAGGAAGATTGATAAGTTGATCGAGTAGAGAGGTCAGCTAACTTTTTGGTGTCGAGCCTATGGAGCTTTTGTTTTGAGGAGCTGCCGAAGCGCATGCAGATGTCCGCGCAAACCAAAGCATGATCTGAATCGAGGTACGTAGACCAAATCGATCCATGTCACTAGACAGGCGTAGGTAATATGTGGCCTCAAGAGCAGCTGGGGACGACAAATTAATCAAGGTGCTGGGATCCTGTAGTCGAGTTTCTGAAAGGCAACAAACATCGATAGCGAGGGACTCTAGAGTGTGCGTCAGGCCAACCTGTTGTCCAAACTGTAGGACGGTCCGAACATTGAAAGCTGCCAGACGGAATGAATTACGGGGCCGAAGGATAGCTGTTGCCCGGAGAGACGGGCATTGGAAGTAGATTCAACAGGTTGTAGCTTATCAACAAAAGTTGGCGTGTAATGGAGAAGCACGAGTAGCAGAAGTAAGTGACGTAGTGGTAATTGCAAAATCAATGGTTTTCACAGAGGGCCTGATAGTACCCGGTTGCCCAAACTGAAGTAGGGAGTTGTCTTAGGGGACTCTACCCCGATCCTTTGGCTCAATAGCCCAACCGCAAGGCAGCGAAGACAGTCCCAATGGGCACCTCGATCCACCTAATAGAAGGCACCTTTCGTGTTTGAATTGTGCAAGCAGAAGGATGGTACGGTTTACATGGGGAAACAAGCAGCTAGTCTGCTACTAGCGAACAGAGCAGTTGATTGGACAGATACGCACGTTTAGTCTGTGTGCTGATTGGTTCGCTGAAGCGCGTTTGTTGAACTGATTCAAAGGAAGAATCACATGAGTGCTGCAGCGTCGTTAGTTATGGAAATGACTAAGTGATTTACATCGAGGTTCCTATATGTTTACAATGCTGTCGTTTTTGCTGAGCTCGCTTTGACGAATAAACCGTTTGTCTCTGAATGACCGAGTTCTGCGACACCTTTTATGTCGAGAAACACGACAGCGGTGGGTCGCCAATAAATATGGCGGTGCTCCAACAATTGACGCAAAGTGAAGATGTGGTTGATGCAGCCCCGGTCTCGACGAAACCCGACTTGTTCTTCACGGGTTTGGCTTTTACGAGTGTCAGTCAGCCCGTGGAGAACGACAGATGCAAGCACTTTAGAGGCAATTGAGGTCAGACTGATCCCTCTATGATTGCCGCATTCCGAACGGGAGCCTCCCTTGAAAATTAGGACGATGACGGAGCGGCTCCAGTCTGTCGAGACAGTCTCCTGCTCCCAAAGTTTTACTAGCAACTCGTGTAAATCATCGACAAGAGCAGGTCCGCCAAAGTTGAAGAGGGCTAGAAGGATCCTATTTATCCCTGCAGCCTTATGTAATTTCAACAGTCTGATCTCATGTTAGACCTGTTCGTGAGGGCGGATCCAAGGAGCCGGCACAGGGAGAAGAGCACTCGACGCCCGAAAAGTAGGCGATAAGTCAGATTGGTTAAACTGCCTTGTATAGATGCGAATCCTAGGCGATCTGAGTTGATGACATGCGTAGGCTTTCGGCCTACGATAATTTAATTCAAATGATCACACGCGTCACAGGTGGGGCGGAGATGCGCGCTCACAAATCTCCACAGATTTCGCTGTTAATACTCACAGTTGAACCGCATTATTCATGAATGAAGTAGGTTCAGAAACACATGCAGCAAGCGTATGAACGCGAAACGGTTGTAATGGTGCCACCTGAGGTCTGTGTGCGAAATTCCCGAACACACACTCAATCGAACGGACGCGACCGTTTAATGTTTCAAGAGCCAGCAGGGATGCGGAGATGTAGCACATGCGTCAGGTATCGTAGAGTATTGGTGCAAACTGAATAGTCAACAGATGCACGATGTATGCGAAAGCACCGAAGCCGACGAAGGCCACTGAGAAAGCGTTTGAATTTATCCATCCAACCCGACAACAGTCAGTTGGCAAGTGCGGGTGCAACATTGGCTCGGTGGTCGCCGTACACTACTGGGAAGGGGAGTGAGATTGCACGTCGTATTCCGTTCATCCGAGTGCCTGAAATTGACCCTCCTGTCAGTCATCAACTGTTGTGCCAATCCTTACCCGGCGTGACCGGATAGCCAAAGGGAGTAGAATTTTCGGATAATATCCAATAGTCCCGGATTCGATGCCTGCTATCTCTGTCTGATATGTCCGAAATCTGAACAATAAAATAAGAAGACGAGTACTGCAAGGCAGTACCATTTCGTGTTGACATAGTGCAATGCTTATCTTTCAATTGCCTTGTTCAGACGTATACAGAGAACTCAGTGCTTGCAGTGTTTCGGGCAAGCTACACCCGAATATCCTTCTGTTTCATCAGCTAGGGTCCTAGGGATCAAAGTGATCAAGGTTCACTTCTATGCGAATCACGGTCTACGTTGAGGTTACGCGTCACAATGTATTCACAAGACAAGCGCTACAATATGACCCATCAACGAGTAGCTAAATAGGTAGAGGTTCCAACTAATTTGTAAAGGACATAGAAATGTTCTTTACGAAAACGGCAATAGTACCGAAGTAGAAGGGTAGACATTTTCTTCTCCGTCTGTAATAAGTGCACAAGTGGTGTGATGAAAAAGTTGTCAGCTTTGTCAGTAAATCTCATTCGAGGAATAAACTTGGCGGCGAAACGAGTATACGGTTCCGTTCGGCACCAGTGGCCCTGTCATACCCACACATTTAAGTAGGGTACAGTATGCGCGGAAAGGAGATGCGAGCAGCAAATGAAGGCTAATGCGGATGAGCCGCTGACTAAATTTACTGATGGCATTCGCCGGATGACATGCCCACAAGCACACCTCAATTGCACCTCGTTCGCCTACTCGTATTTGGACTTAAAGTAGTGTGCGAAAGGTAGGACGAGGGGTTCGAAGCATCAGACAGTACAGACAACTAGCAAAATCTTAAGTGACGAACCTCCAGATGTGGCATATTCGATTCATCTGACTTTACTATTCATCGATACAGTTTCACAATGGCCTCTTTATTCAGTAGAATCCTTAATGAACTTGAAGAGGATTCGTAAACAATCGGTACTCGTTGAAAGTTGAAAGTAAACAGTACCTCAAGCTGTTCATTCATAATGATTCTGAAGCTTTCCATCGTGAGCTGAAACTTCTCCCACTTTGCTTTTGTGCAAGTTAAAGCCGGGACACCAACACCTGCAACGCTGCGAAGTAACCGGTCTTTCGATTCGGCACAAGAGAGTTGCTCCAACAGGCGAGTAGTCGACTTAGAAAATTCTACCTCGATCGATTTTGCTTCGCTCAGCTCATCCACTGTTTGAGGTCGGCGTGAAAGCTTCTCCAAAGCACCTAGTGCAATACACGAGAGAACGACGAAGTATAAAATTCAACACAGGCAAGGTGCACAATCGAAAGTAGGTAAACTACCGTCCTATGGTAAATGTGCCTTTTAAATACAGAGCCAGTTGATATAACTGGTAAGTTGGTTTTAGGTTACTAGATCGTTCGTATTAACCTTCTCTCCTTAACTCGATTTAGCAATTGTAATTGTAGTATAAATGACATAATTATGCTGATCGGTTAGGTCTCATGGCAATTAACCGTTAGTTAATATCGTATCCAGAATTCCTTGACATTGATTACTAATATTATAAACTACTTTAAGCAAATTGAGAGAAAGCGGTGCATCGAAAACTTCAGCGGCGAAAAACCATCATTGAAAGCTGCCGCATAGCCACGCAAGAAATAGTTCACTTCGACTAACAATTTGATCCGAGTGCCGAAGCACCATAGATACAGTTGTCACGACGCACCTCCCCATCAGTAGAGTAGATAAAAATGAGGGGAAAATGAATGAACAATCGGAGCACGACAGAAAGGAAAGGCAGCCATAAAAAAGACATGCAAATTTAATGGAGTGGAGGGCCTCCAGACAAAGGGCATATCGATCGACAAAAAAGCCCATATAAGAAGTTATTCGAAGTCAGTTAATGTAGCCTTCAAAAGGTTCTCGAACGACTACTTCCGGCACAGTTACTATCATGAATACTGACATTTCGTTTGGGTTAGATATCGGCACGGGGAATTCAGTCAGTTTTAATGTAAAGTTACTATCCAATGCGATATCAAATGAGATGGAGTAGCCCCTCTTAACATCAGTTCTGCAACTAGTTCGACTGAAGCAGTGGCTGTAACCGCTATCCTCGGTGCTCAAACGTCTAGCCATGCAACAAGGACATCTCCCTAACTACTGAAACAAAAGAAAGTTCCTTGAAGAAGTCAAACTAATAGTTTTAAGTCCATAAACAGCAGTGGTGCTCTATGTGCTGCACAGTAATGGGACAAATATTGAACGATAAAGTAACTGCCGACCCAGGTAACTGCTTACTAGCTTGACTCATCAATCTCGGTACCCCCAGTACAGATGTTGATAAGGTCCATTCCAACAGCACACTGAGAAATCAGCTAGATTGTATCCAAAAGGAACGTTTTCCTTTGGATAATATACGAACAACTTATAGTCGTTATGCATCGGAAACCCTTATATCCATCGCCTATTTTAACGATAGAAATAACGTATACCCACAAATTAATGACTCGCGTATGATGATTGATAAAATGTTCTAATTAGCAAAGTACACAGGAGCCATAATTCCGACATATTTCTAAGGCTCCATACTGGTGCCATATCTGTGATGAATGTGGGCCTAATGAAGAGAGTGGACGCAATGGGGTGTCTCCCTCACCTTAAGGTTGTTACTCGGCGACAGTTCGCACCTACCTAACTACCAGTACCCTACCGCAACTTCGGCTCTCAACAACATGTTGCGTCTATCCCTCTACCTACAACACAAGAACACACTTAACCCAGACAATCGTTTATTCCGAATCGGCTGACTTGTCGAATAACCTTCTCGTGGTTTGGGATTAGCCTGTTCCAGCCAATTGTTCGGCGGCAGTGTTCTGGGACGTGCTGGGTTTCCGCCTGGTATGTGTTCTCACTGTTACAAGCCGCATATGTATGTTTAACAACACTGCGACGTGGTGGATGTGATTTGCCACTAAACAGAGTCACCGTCCCTTGCTTCACTGCGGTGGAGCATTGTATTATAGTACCCTATTGCTGAAATCGTGGGGAGCATTGGGCCTTTCCTTGGCATATGAACTGAGCAATCAGTCACCACCTCCCAATTGGTGCGGTTCCATGAATTCACCCAGCTACCTTGCGAGTGGGCTATCTAGCTAAAGGCTCGAGATTGGGTCCCCTAAGTCGGCCGGTGACCGACCAAGTGGCAACGCCGAGGATGCATTACTGGAATGGCTCCCGATTAACAACCGACTTTGTGAAGTTCGGCTTCGAGGTTCATGCAGAATCAACAAGCGTCGCGAGGAGAGACGCAAATTATGTATGCTATCTGCGTACGCTCCAAATGACTGCAGTAGGGATTCCATAAGAATGACTTTTATCGAGAGCTTCATCAGCTCTTAAGTAATGCTGAAAATCGGATGCTGTTGTCCTTGATGGGGATTTTAATGTACGAGTTGGTTGTCTGTTACCATACGAATGCCACATTGGTAAGTATGCTCGATGAGGACCGCTCTGATAACGGAGAGAAGCATCTTTCAAACTCCAGTACCAACTTCAAGCACATGAAGAAACCTACCGCAACTTGTCGTTTCCCTTCGCCAACACAATCGTGATCCCAAATTGATCATAGTACAATCAGCCTCAGATTGCGTGACAGCATTCGGGACTGCAGGTATTTTTGGTCAACTTTCATTGACTCGGATCATGCACTGGTTTGCGCAAAAATCTGCATGTTTTACGGATTCCCCAACAACGAAACACTGCAAAATTCATGCAAACCGATTGACTGATTCCTCGGTCCAGGCTAGCTATCAATCTTCACTGGGGTACGCACTCATTTACAGTTCACCACAAGACAGAGCAACGCTGGACATGCATACAGAAGACGATGACCACTTCACATCAGTCAAGCTACGGTATAGCTCAGTAGTCGGCTGCACCCACGGACGCCGCTGATTTTTGAATCACTGTGTTGGAGTATACTTTTGTTTAGGAGTACCGTGTTATAAGTGTTTATTCTGTGTGAATTGTGCACCAATATATTTCTTTTGGTGTATTTTTCAAACTTTGCAATGTTTGTGGATATTCTCTGGTTAATTTCGGGGATCTCATTGATTGGCCCAACCGCCGCCTGCGTCCGTCAGCTTGGCTTTGTTCTACCTTGTGACGCCGTCTCAAGCTACTTGTGGTTCGCGTACGAAAATTGTTGAACTTAAGGTTCATGCACTTCAGTGCTTCGGCTGCGACGTTTTGTTCTATGTTTGGTGCAATGCCGAATCAATTGACGTCTTTCGAAAAGCTTTCGACATCCAAGTTATATATGATAAATGTCGCGTTTTAAGACATCAGAATATACAGCGACCGCCAAGCACTACAGAAAAGCTCTCCTACAGGAGGAATCACACCGTGCACATCGTGGGGTAAAGCACCCTCGTGAAAGCACCTCTATCACCGCGCTCTCCCCTACACCACCACCAAGGTCTTCGACCCCTGCCGAACCTCAGGTTCAATGTTCCCCACTGATTGGAAATCAGACTCGGAACCTCCAAATTGTCGCTTCACTGATCGGTCTGTGGATTTCTCAGAGTCTGTATGTGAACCTCTGAACACCGTGGATACATTGCCCGCTCCCACAGGTTCACCACCGATTTCGCTGAGGCGTCATTATCTCATGGCATTTCACGCACCAGAGTCAAAAGAAGAAAAGCGTCAGATACCTTATGACCACAAAGTTGAGTTCCTGCAGGAGCTCATCGATAGACTGTTGGATGTGAATGAAGACAGTATGACGATTAAACAAGTAGTCCAACTTGGCCAGCAAACTAACCAGTCATGTCAGCCTTTGAGAATCATCTTTGCAAAACACATTATACCGCAGCTCATTCTCGTCTGTCAAGGCTGAAAGGCATAAATTTTCACATCCGCAAATACTTGGAACCCGAAGACAGGGATGGTTTAGAGATTGTGGTCATTGAGCTCAAACGCCATGCAGAAGAAGGTGAGATAAACAAACAAATTGTAAATGTTCGGGTGATCAAGAAGGGTGTACAAACCCGTAGCAACCGGTTGCTCAACCTTCAGCCACGTCCCGCGGTACCCCTCATGGCCTCCGTGTGGCATTCGCCAACATGTGCAGCCTAATGAAAAAACGTGACGAACTGTACCGCTTCGCTGTCTTGGAGGGGCCGGACGTTTTAGGATTCACAGAGACTTGGCTGAACTCCGACATATGTCCTAAGAAGTCGCCTTGTCACGATACCCATGTTTCCGATGCGACAGAGAATCAAACGCTCACGGTGGTTTTCTGTTGTACATCAAATCGTCACTGTTTGTCACCTATCGGAGCGAGAATAACTTGTACGAGCAATTGTGGGGCATAATCCGCCTCAAAAGCGCCTATGGTGCGCTGAGGCTGGTGATGACTTGATCCTGACAGATGGTCTACATACTGCTGCTACTGTTACGCCATTGGCTCTTGTCCTGAGACTCTCCTCATGGCGACCACTGGGAGGGAGTTGGGTTACCCATTCTCCCTGCTAAAATCCAGGACACCAATCCGCATGAGTCAGTGAACTGACCATGTGCTAGACTCGCTGCGTTTCGGGTGTACGTTTAATCGAAGGCTTTAGCTGAGGACCCGAGTCGTTCTCCTGTCAGGTGTGGGCGCCCTGCCAGTATCCTAGTCCATCCTCCTCAGAGGTTAGGAAGTGGTCCATTGTCCTCTTCCTTCAAAACCTAGCCATGGGAGAAAACAGGTCTACGGGTTATAAGCTCACAGCTCGATTGGGGTAGAGCATGTGCGCCACGCATTTTCTCTGACGGTGGGAGGGCACCTCCGGGTGTTCAATGGTTTGCTACTGCCCGCCTCAATCCAGCCAGCCCGTGGTCAAATTGGCGCAAACCCGCCAAAACCCACCTGCGTCTGGTCGTGGTTCCAGGTGTATCCTACTACGGTCGCAAAACATATAAGAACCGCTCCAGTACCTCAAAGGCTGCGAGTGATGACCGTCAACCAGATCCCAATCTGTCTCTGTAATCACATTCCCGAGGTGGATCTGCTCCCCACTGCCTTGTGGGAAAGACTATTGAGCAAAAGGCTCCGGGTGGAGTTCCTCAAACTAACCTCCGAAGCACAACGACCACCGCGCGTGCGATTGACCACCAATGCAAGCGTATGCCTGCGCGCAAAGCACTCAGCATCGGGTGCTGGAACGTGCGCACACTACTGGACCGGAGCTCCAGCGAGCGCTCCGAGCGACAC